ACAATCAGCTGTATTTCCCAACAGAACATTCACTCACTGGCCTTTTAGACCATTGATCAAGTTTTACTGACAAAATCTGTAATTATACGGGTCCTTATGCTCAATAAAGCTGATTACACTGAGAGCAAACACACACACACACACACACACACACACACACACAGCTCCTCGCGCAGAAGGAGTCGGAACTACTGGGAAATCAATAACAAATCGACAATAACAGGGAACTGGCCTGTACTTCCGCGTTATTCTGCTGCTGTGGAAGACAAATTAAATATATCCGCGGATTCGTACTTTTACCGGATTCGGATAACGTTAGGAGGTGAGTAACACAATAATAACTTTAATTTCCGCGTTCTTTTTTTCCTGCGTGAAATTTTACAGGAAGTTTTGGTCTCACGTTTGATTAATGCGTGATATTATCCTTATAAAGAATACATGTAATCATTAGATCTCACATGTTATTAGAGGATTTCTATTAGTAAGAACGCAATGGAAAACATAAAAGGCCTTTATATAATAAGGTCATATGTAAACTCTTCTGCAGTTTACATGTGGCCCTCATGAATGCAGGCAAAACAATATCATGTGTTCATGAATTCTGTTATATCTAATAATAATAATAATAATCATAAAAAAAACAACATCGATCAATATAGCATTATTATTATTATTGATTCCAATTCAGACTGAAAGATCAAATTTGCTGAACAAATTTTAAGTATTAAAAAAGCCACACACATGCACCCACCCACGTTTACCTAGCTGTCTGAATGAAGAAACAGTAGACGTGTATTGTATTTATATAAAGACTTAAAACATATTTATACAAAAACAATACCTCCAAATCATACTCTACACGTGCACGCACTCGCACATTGTTTTTAAGCATTACAAATAAAATAAATATTATGTACAGTCTTTTTGACATTACTTGACAATGGTTGTTTCTGCTTTAATGTTATACATTAATAAAATAAAGGTATCATAATTGGCTTGTAACGCAATCTAATGTTCTGTTTTAATGCAAGTAAGCATACATATTCAAACGTCTGTTATTCTTATTGTCCTGGTTTTAATTATGCCTACTGTAAACTAAAACTATGAAAACATTTTCATAACAATAATGAAATATTTTAAATATCTCGTTGTCTTAAAGCACAAAACACCTACATTCACTACAGACTTTGCCATACAATAAAAATGTGTGCATTTTTAATAATAATAATAATAATAATAATAATAATAATATACAACTTACAGTTTTACACAAAAGTTTTAGAAAATGTGTAGATAGCTACTAGGTTAGAAAAACACACCACACAAACAACTCTCAAGATGTAATGAGCCATTCATTCGAGATAGAAATCTCATTATCTTGCATCTTGCAGAGAAATGCTTTGCTCTGTTGAAATCTGCTTTTAATGTGATTTTTGTAAAAAAAAAAAAAAAAAACTGGCCTGTTTTTTATCAACCATAATTTGTCTCTCAGCCCACAGAGTTGCAGAAATGAGTCAGTGGTTGGATCTTCAACAACTGGATTCAAAGTTTTTGGAACAGGTCGACCAGCTGTACGATGACAGCTTTCCAATGGCCATCCGGCAGTACCTCAGCAGCTGGATAGAAAGCCACGACTGGTGCGGACCACCATTTTACATCTTTACAACGGTGTCAAACACATAACCACAACCTTTTGCAAGTATAATAATGCTAAACTAAGCAACCTGTTGATTCTTAACAGTCTTTATTTTGAAGTTAAAAAGTTAATATTAATTGAAATGATTAATATATTATTAAAATATGAAAATTGTAAGAAATATCTTTTTAAATGTGCATTAACATTTTTAAGGTTATCTGGAATAATAATATTAGCATATTAATTATATTGTAATATTTAAACATTAAAATATGAATTAATACTTTTTAAGGTGCATGTTTTTTAAAAATATTTTATAAAATATGAGAATGAGAATATTAATTAATATGTTTAATGTGCATTCTTATTTTTAAATTCAATTAGAATATTAATATTAACATGTTAAAATAATATTATTTAAAAATATGAATACTTTTTAAATGTGCATATTTAAGTAAAAAAAAAATCTAAATAATATTAATAATTATTATTATTATTTTTAAATTTTTATTTTAATTAATATTTTTTTTATTTTTACAGGTAAAGACATCTACTCTTTACCAAAAAAGCAAAAGAACTGTTTATTGTACATAAGGCCTTCATGTTGAGATCACATGATGTTAATAAACTAACTTTTAGTTTAATAAACTAAACAGATGAACTTACTTCAAATATGACATCTTCCAGAAAAACAATATGTTCTGCACACAATTAACCTGCGGTAACATCATATAAACGGCATCATGGGTTGTCCAGAGCTAGTGAGGGCAACAGAAAGGCAAATTCTGCAGTTTTAGTTGTTCAATAAGACAAATAAGAATCAGTGCAACATAAATAAATAGTTTTTATTGCCATTTCTTATTACTTATTAAATTTATCTTCCCGATAAAAGAGGCGTTATGTAGGCACAAATATAGGAATTATGTTACAAATAGAATTCAAACCAGTTTCAGCTTCATTTGGTGTGAATCATCTGTCCTTTGTTCTCTTAAAGGGACCATGTTGCTAATGTGGAGAATGAGTCTCTGGCCACCGTGAGGTTTCATGATCTTTTGACCCAGTTGGATCACCAACACAGCCGCTTCGCGATGGAGAAAGACTTCCTGAACCAGCACAACATCCGCAAGATCAAGAGGAACTTGCAGGTGCCTGTCTGCAACTGGCTACACAATCATTTCCTTTTAGCATTTGTGTCGCAGCCTCTGAATCATTAAGCAATAAACAGATCAGAAAAACAAGTTGCAACATGCAAACAGTTGAGGTTCTGAGTTAACACAAACCTTGTGTTTCAGAGCCTCTTCCAAGACAATCCTGTTTCCATGGCGATGATCATCAGTAGGAACCTTAGCGAGGAAAGGAAGATTCTGGCCGCTGCCCAAGTGTCAGAGGTCAGGAATTAATAAACGTCAACCACTGATTTCCAACACTAAACCGTGAAGTTGAATATGCCATTTAAATCTTTATCTAAATCATTTTAAAATAATAGTTCAACCACAAACAATTTACCGCACATTCACATGATTTTTTTTAATCTGTAAATCACAAAAGGAGATATTTCACAAAATTGTCCAAGCTGCTCTTTTCCACATAATGACATGAAGTTAGTAATTAGTATTTCGTTACAGAATCGAACCGAAAGCACCCAAAATGACATGATCGTGGAGAAACATCGAGAAATGGATGGAAGGGTGAAAGACATAAAGATGAAAGTACAGGTGATGTACACAAAAACTATCGCATTCTATGTCTAATTCTCATAGAAAAGTTGTGTAAAACATCTTTTTCAAATTTCCCTTCAGGACACAGAGCAGACTATCAAAAATCTAGAAGACCAGCAAGACGAATACGACTTCAAGAGCAAAACTCTACAAAGCAGAGGTAACAGGATTAAAAAATGCCTTATTTGTAGTCAAAAAACTATTTTTCATTAAATGTGTGGCCACATTACTGAAATTTCAACTAAATGTATGTATTGCTTATTTCGAGCGCGAAAATTAGTTGAACAACAGTAAGTGTGACTGCATCTTCGGTCAGAACTAGCTATTTATTTGAAAAGTATTGAAACTCAAAGTATTGCTTATTTCGCTCTCGAAAATTTGTCAAACATTGGTAAATGTGATGTACCTTATGTCAGAACTGAAGTACCGAAACTCATTATTGCGAATTGAAAAAATGGAACAATGGTAAGTTTCAGAACTAGCAAATTATTCGAAAAGTAGGCTATAGAAACGCAGTATTGCTTATTTTGTGAAAATTCACCAAACTAGCTAATGTGACGCACCTCAAGTCAGAAGTAACTTTTTGTCAGGTACTGAAATTCGCTCACGAAAATTTGCCAAACAACGGATGACTGCACCTTTAGTACCAAAACTCATTACTGCTTATTTCGCTTGTGAAAATTTGTTGAACAATGGTAAATGTCACCTCATCTTAAGTCAGAACTAGCTATTTTTTTCAGCAAGTACTGAAACTAAGTATTGCTTATTTCACTCACGAAAATTTGTCAAATGACAGTAAATAGCTATTTATTTGAAAAATATAGAAACTCAGTATTGCTTATTTTGCTCTCGAAAATTTGTCAAACATCGGTAAATGTGACGCAACTCAAGTCAGAACTAGCAATTTTTTTCAGCAAGTACTGAAACTTGTTGCTTATTTCGCTTGCAACGTCACGTGTAACCGCATCTTAGGTCAGAACTAGCTAATTATTCAAAAAGTATAGAAAATCAGTATTGCTTATGTCGTGAAAATTCACCAAACAATGGTAATGTGTTGCACCGTAATTTAGAAGTAGCTATTTTTTCGTCAAATACTGAAGTTCAGTATTGCTTATTTCGCTTGCGACAATTTGCCAAACCAACAGTAAATATGACTGAACTTTTAGTCAGAAATAGCTATTATTTTGAACAAGTACTGAAACTCAATACTGCTTATTTTGCTTGTGAAAATTTGTTGAACAATGGTAAATGTCACCTCACCTTAAGTCAGAACTAGCTAGTTTTTTTTGCAAGTACTGAAACTTAGTATTGCTTATTTCGCTCTCGAAAATTTGTCAAATGACAGTAAATTTGACACGCCTACAGTATGTTCAGAACTAGCTATTTGAAAAATAAAGAAACTCTGTATTGCTTATTTCGCTCTCGAAATTTTGTCAAACATCAGTATATGTGACGTAAGTCAGAACTAGCTATTTTTTTCGGCAAGTAACGAAACTTAATGTTGCTTATTTCACTTGCAAAAATTTAGCAATGGTAAGTGTAACTGCATCTTAGGTCAGAACTAACTAATTAATCAAAAAGTACAGAAATCCAGTATTGCTTATTTTGTGAAAAATTCTCCAAACAATGGTAATCTGATGCACCCAAGTCAGAAATAGCTGTTTTTTTGTCAAGTACTAAAATTCAGTATTGCTTATTTCGCTAATGAAAATTCGCCAAACACTGATAAACATGACTGCACCTTTAGTCAGAACTAGTTTTTGTTTTTCAACAAGTACCAAAAATCAATACTGCTTATTTTGCTTGTGAAAATTTGTTGAACAATGGTAAATGTCACCTCACCTTAAGTCAGAACTAGCTAGTTTTTTTTGCAAGTACTGAAACTTAGTATTGCTTATTTCGCTCTCGAAAATTTGTCAAATGACAGTAAATTTGACACGCCTACAGTATGTTCAGAACTAGCTATTTGAAAAATAAAGAAACTCTGTATTGCTTATTTCGCTCTCGAAATTTTGTCAAACATCAGTATATGTGACGTAAGTCAGAACTAGCTATTTTTTTCGGCAAGTAACGAAACTTAATGTTGCTTATTTCACTTGCAAAAATGTAGCAATGGTAAGTGTAACTGCATCTTAGGTCAGAACTAACTAATTAATCAAAAAGTACAAAAATCCAGTATTGCTTATTTCTGCATCTTAGGTCAGAACTAACTAATTAATCAAAAAGTACAGAAATCCAGTATTGCTTATTTTGTGAAAAATTCTCCAAACAATGGTAATCTGATGCACCCAAGTCAGAAATAGCTGTTTTTTTGTCAAGTACTAAAATTCAGTATTGCTTATTTCGCTAATGAAAATTCGCCAAACACTGATAAACATGACTGCACCTTTAGTCAGAACTAGTTTTTTTTTTTTCAACAAGTACCAAAAATCAATACTGCTTATTTTGCTTGTGAAAATTTGTTTAACAATGGTAAATGTCACTGCACCTTAGGTCAGAACTAGCTATTTTTTCTTTTTTTGACAAATACCGAAACTTGCTTTCATCTGTTGAATAGAGGAACTGAACGGGACCATTTCAAAGGAAGACCTGAACCGTGAGAGACTGACTATCCATGCCATGTTTATGAAACTCAACGACACAAGAATGGTGAGAACATTGGTGATCCATCGGATTTTTCCTGTTCTGTAATGCTAATTGGTTAGCGAAGAGAAGCAGTTACTTTCAACCTTGTTTGTGTCCCTGTAGAAAGTGATCAGTCAGATGTCAGAGGTGTTAAACAATATGGATCCGGTGGTCTTTGAGCTAATCTCAACAGAACTGGCCGAATGGAGACACCGTCAACAGATGGCTTGCATCGGTGGACTAACCAATGTCTGCTTGGACCAGCTGCAGAACTGGTAACAAACACAAACACAAACCACAAATTAATTTATGATTTCCTTCTAACCATACATTTTTTTGAGTAGTAATAGTAATACTAGCAATACATTACTTTTTTTTTGCTGTTGTAAAATAGCCCATGATTCTCTGGAAAACCAAGCCAGAATGATCATATTTACAAGATGTCATGACAACCAAATTTAATAGTTTCAAGATCTTCAAATACTGTCAAAGCTAATTGGTATTGCTCATAGTTATATTTAATTCTGAATTTTGACTGTACAATATGTATTTTTCTACTTTTTTTTTGTACAGATGATTGCGAATACCAATGGTTTACATATTTTTAGCAAAATCTAGTCTTTTCTATAGGAATCCACACAATCTGGAATTTCGAAAGATTTTGCACGGGTTCAATTTAGAAAGATGGTTTGTTCGATTCTTATAGACCTTTTTTGCTTGCGAAATTTTTGGCAATATGTAAATAGTTATAATTTCGCTACACTGTTGACATTGGGCCTTTTTTTTTTTTTTCCAAAAATTTTATAAACCTTTTCTACCTGCGAAATTTTACGGAAATATTGACAGTATACAAATATTTTGACAATATTTAAAGGGGTCATATGATGCGATTTCAAGTTTTCCTTTCTCTTTGGAGTGTTACAAGCTGATTGTGCATAGATAAGATCCCTAAAGTTGCAAAGACTAAAGTCTCAAAACCAAAGAGATATTCTTTATCAAAGTTAAGACGCTGCCACGCCCCCCTAAAACAGCTCGTTCTAACACGCCCCCACATATCTACCTCACTATGTGGAAATATTAGCATAACGAAGCGTTTGAGAGAGGCGGGGCATATAGGACCTACAATAATGTACAGTATTTGAAAAATAATGTGTTTTTTGAACATTAAAGCATGTCAACATATTCTGTTACACCAAATACACAAAATAGTGATCTTTAAAAAAGCATCATATGACCCCTTTAAATATTGATAATTTTGCTAGACTATTGACCGTAGACAATGGATTGGGGTTTTTTTGCGAACAAAATTTTATAGACATTTTCTACTTGCGAAATTTCACAGAAATATTGACAACATTAAATATATTGACAGTATATAAATATAGATAATTTCGATACAGTAATGACAGAAGACAATGGATGTTTTTTTTGCGAACAAAATTTTACCGACCCTTTCTGCTTGCAAAATTTCACAGAAATATAGTAAATTCGTAACAATTTCGCTACACTATTGAATTGTTTTGCTCAAAAAAAATTATGGAAATTTTCTGTCTGCAAAATTTCAGGTAAATATTGATAATATTAAATATATTGACAGTATATAAATATTGATAATTTTGTAACCCCACTGACAATGGACTTGTTTGTGCACAAAATTTTAGAGACCTTTTCTGCTTGCAAAACTACACAGAAATATTCACAATAGTAAATATTTTCACAGTATATAAATATTGATCATTTTGCTAAATCACACTTTTAGGCTCTAGAAAATCCCATTTAAATCATATATTTTTGTGTTGTGTTTGTTTTTCCTCTAAGGTTTACTTCTCTAGGAGAATCTCTGCTTCAGCTCAGGCAGCAGCTCAAGAAACTTCTGGAGCTGGAGCAGAAATTCACATACGACAACGATCCCATCACCCTCAGCAAAAGCACTCTGGACGACAGGATCATGTTGAACCTCAAAAATCTCATCACAAAGTAAGAAACCTACTTTGCTTGATACACCACTGCTGAAAGGAGTCACTGACAATTAATTATTTTTGTCTATTTTGTCAGCTCCTTGGTAGTCGAGCGACAGCCATGCATGCCGACCCAACTGCAAAGACCTTTGGTGCTGAAGACGGGTGTTCTGTTCACCCTCAAATTACGGTAACTGTAAACACACAGCAGAGGATTTGCATTTCTCTGGATTTAAAGGCCAGATAATATTCAGTTGATGAATGATGAATCACATTATTTCTGTGCTCCAGGCTGCTCATAAAACTTCAGGAATTCAACCACACTGTTCGGGTGAAGGTGCAATTTGACAAGTACGTGTTGTACATACTCTGACTCAACCGTAAATCAGGGATTTTTTTTGTCTCTAAATTAGCTAGTCATTTAGCATACATGTGTAATGATTCACTTGTGTGGTTAGCATTTTTAGCTTAGCATGCATAAAAAAAACCACTCTAAGATGCATTTCATTGTGTTAACGTGTCTCTTTTCATCTTTCAGGGATATCGTTGAGAAACGTAAAGGGTGTGTCCTACATAATTTCCTTATTCGCATACTATTTTAAAGGGGCAATTACCCTCAAAATTTAAATTCCACTTACTTAGTATTGCTCCTGTGTTAGGTTTCGCATGTTCAACATCTTGGGAACGGCCATGAAGGTGATGAACATGGAGGAATCCAATGGGATGGCAGCAGAATTCCGTCATCTGGTAAAATGAAAAGAAGAAATAGCCAATTATAGTGTAGCTCCAGTTTAAAGTCATAATTTAGTCAAATAGTAAGTAACAGTAACACAATTCTCTTTACTTCACAGCAACTGAAAGAGAAGAAAGTTACCGGAAACAGAACAAGTGAGGTGAGTTCAAAATGTTTTTGAAAAAAAGTCTCTTCTGTTCACCAAGGCTGCATTTTTTGATAAAAATACAGTAAAAACAGTAATATTATTACAATTTGAAATAAATATTTTCTATTTGGATATATTGTAAAATGTAATTTATTCCTGTGATGCAAAGCTGAATTTTCAGCATCATTATTTCAGTCACATGATCCACATGATCCCTCAGAAATCATTCTAATACACTGATTTGCTGCTCAAGAAACATTTATTATTATTATTATTATTATTATTATCAATTGTGCTGCCTAGTATTTTTGTGGAAATTGTTTTTTTCATAATAGTTTGATAAAATAGAAAAGTTCAACATTTATTTAAAATAGAAATCTTTTGTAACATTATAAATGTCTTTACTGTCACTTTTGATAAATTTAATGCATCCTTGCTGAATAAAAGAACACATTTCTTGTTTCTTGTCATTAAATTGTTAAAAAAAGGTCAATTCTGTCATCATTTACTCACCCTCATGTTGCTGCAAAGCTGCATGACTTTCGTTTTTATGTGGAACATAAAAAACCTCCAGAAATCACATAAAAATGATAAAGAAAGTAGTCCATAACTCTTGTGTTCAGTTTTCCTAGTCTTCTGAAGTCATATAATAATTTAGTGTAAGAAACAAGCAGAAATGCAAGTCCCTCTTTGTTTAGCTCGTCTTCACTTTTCAGCTTCTGCATAGTCAAGCTTTAAACTTGGTAGAACAACAGCTCAAACTGCCATTTTTGGCTAAATTCTTTCTTGAACGTTCGGCAGGGCCCTCTGATCGTCACGGAGGAACTTCACTCCATCACCTTTGAGGCTGAGCTCTGCTGGTCAGGAATGGTCATGAACTTTGAGGTCAGAAGATTCTTCAGAACAACCGAGTTTAAAAACATAAACAGCACCAAATCATGATCATCATCCACTTTCTTCTCTCTCTCCATCTTCAGGCCACGTCTCTGCCCATAGTCGTGATCTCCAACGTCATTCAGCTCCCCAGTGGATGGGCCTCCATCATGTGGTACAACATGCTGACTTCTGAGCCAAAGGTAAGTCCTCTTCCACACTAATGTTACGTACATGACTGTACGTAACATTAGTTAGACATTAGATGGCTGAAAATGAAACTAAAACTCAACTGAACATAAATATTAGATTATAAACTTGAAAAATTAGAAAGGTTGCCTTGGCAAATAATTGGCATAGGTTTAAGATGAAGCACTAACTGGAAATAAAGTAAGACTGTAATAAAATAAATTAAACCTAAATAGAAATGTTTTTAAAACACAATTTTAAAATAAAGCACTAAAATTACTAACTGGGAAAAAGAAAAACCTAAGTTAAAAATAAATTAAACCTAAGAAGTAATATTTAAAAATAACAAAAACAACGATAATAAAATAAAAAAAATACAAATGACAAAAGCTCATAAAAATACTAAGAATTTTACTAAAATGAAAATATAAAGATTACATGAAAGATGTGTGAAATGGCAGATAACTGAAATAAAATAAATTAAACCTAAATAAACACAAGTTTAAAGTAAAGCACTAAAATTACTAACTGGGGGAAAACCCCTGAACTAAAACAAAAATAAATTAAACCAAAATAGTAATATTTAAATAATAATAATAATAATGATGATACATAAATAAATACTAATAAAAATGACAAAAGCACATAGAAACTAATTATTTTACCAAAATGACAATGAAGATATAAATATTAGATGAAAAACTTCAACTAAATGATAAATTAGATATGGCAAATAACTGAAATAAACATAAATGAAACCTAAATAGAAATGTTTTGAAAAGAGCAAATATGAAAAAATAAAATAACACCATCTCTAAAAATGTAATGAAATAAAATGAAATGAAAACTAAAGATATAAATATTAGATAAAAAACTTGGAAGCGTTGCCTTGGCAAACACCGGAAAAAATATGTTTAAGTTGAACAATAACATTGTTAACTGGAAGTAAATAAAAACTAAAACTGAAATGAAAAATAAATTAAACTTTAATAGAAATATTTGAAAAAGAACAAGAACTAATAAAAATGACAAAAGCACATATTTAACAATCTTAAATAAAAAAAGTGAAAATATAAAAATAAAAGTGAAGTTCAAAAGTAAGTCCTCTTCAACACTAATGGTTTAGTAATAGATATAAGCTCTACATGCATCACAAAATAGATGTCTGGAGGCATTTCCACAGGTTCTGACTTGCCTTGAACTTCCATTTTCTTTGATTGTTTGTTCTCCAGAACCTTTCGTTCTTCGTGACTCCTCCTTCAGCCACGTGGGGGCATCTAGAGGAGGTGCTGAGCTGGCAGTTCTCCTCCATCACCAAAAGGGGTCTTAATCAAGAGCAGTTAAACATGCTGGGTACCAAACTCCTTGGTAAGTATGATACACTTACTTCACACTGAGCGCGACTGATTCTCTTGGAACAGATTAACTAAATGCACAAGCGTTCAAACTTGGGCCCACAGGACCTAAAGCGGTGATGGATCCTGAAGCTCAGATTCCTTGGAATAGATTCTGCAAGGTTGGCCTATACAAGATTTTTTATTTTACTGATCAGTTTACCCATTAAGTCGAAATTTCCAAGTTCCCGCTGTTTGTTTAGAAGTGATTTGATTTGAGACTTGTGTTTGATGTAGTCTGGCAGTGAGAAGAACTTCACCTTCTGGCTGTGGATTGAAGGAATTTTGGACTTAATAAAGAGACACCTGCTGAGTCTGTGGGACGATGGGTAAGAAACCAGATGTTTGAATTATGAAAATCCAGCTAGGAACAACATCTTATATGGTTCTAGCTGGTCTAGATGGTTGATCACCTGGACCACCTTGGTCTGTCTGACCATTTTGGACAGCTGCCATTTCACATACCAGGGTTATTGTAGTGTACTAGACAGACTTTAGCTGTTGCGGTGCAGACACGGTGTTAATCGCTTATCGAGAAGAAACAAAGCAACCTCTGCGTCCGATCGCAGGCCTTCCGCTCCTTGAGTTCTCTCCAGCGCTGGAAAGCTGATCCGATATTTACACGGGTCCTACTTCTTGCCTTATTGCCTTAAGCCTTCTTTTGTTCCGCAGACGTTTTCCTCTTTTGTTTTTTATCCGCCATCTCTATCTTTCTGTCGCTTGGCTCGCTAATGTCCGTCCTGTGCACTGGTTCTCTCCACATCATGAGTAGACACGCTCATTACTGCTGATTGGCTACAAGTTCGTTTTGCTAGTCGGCCAGAATCAGTTTTCTAAAGCGTTTTTGAAAAATCACTTACCCCACCTTTAACAAAAACAATTTTTTAATACGTTTAAGCTAAAGTACTCAAATTAATAACTGGAAATAAAAACTAAAACTGAAATAAAAATAAATGAATATAAATCGAAATATAAAACAAAAAAACTAATAAAAATGACAAAAGCAGTAAAGCACATAACAAAATGAAACACAACAAAATTGTCAATATAAGATGGAAAACTTTAAATGAAAATTAGTAATGTTGCCATGGCAAATAACTGAAATATGTTTAAGTTGAAGCTCTAAAATTACTAACTAGAAATAAATAAAAATTAAACTGAAGTAAAACTAAATTAAGCCTAAGTAGTTATATCTAAAAAGAACAAAAATGAATACAACTGACAAAAGCATAAAACAAAATGACAAAAAATTTAAATGAAAACGGAAAATGTAAAAATAAAAACGAATTCAAAATATTAATAAAAACTAAAATAGTACATAAATAATAGTAAAATAAGTGTCACAAAATGATTACATTTATGCATAAACAACAACAAAAATACATAAAAATATCTTTAGGATCATTCTGGTTTAAATAAACGAATTAATTCTAGGTTAAATAAATACAAACACAATTTAAATAAATAAATAACACAATTGACAGAATCTGTGGCAATTGTTCATTACCATAGGAAATATTTTCCTAGATTTATTTTTAAATAAATATATAAAAATAAATATATAAACACCTTTTTAAATTTGGTTGTGTCTAAAGTTTTAAAGTGTAAAAAGATTGTGTTTATAGTAATAGACTTGCACAATAGAATTCTGCGTTAACCCTGTCTATCTTTCGCAGCTGTATAATGGGCTTTGTGACCAAGGACCGAACTAAAGCTCTGCTACATGAAAAAGCTTCCGGGACATTTCTGTTGCGCTTCAGTGAGAGCAACCGTGATGGAGCCATCACATTCAGCTGGGTTGAACACGACGCAAACGGTGAGACGTTCCTTCACTCTGTGGAACAATAAAGGACTAATTAAAACAAATGTATCCGGTCTTGAAATTAAAACATCAAAAAACAGCTAATTTGGGTTTGGGTGTGGGTTTCGCTTAAACTTTGGCTTCAAATCAAATCTGTTTTGCAAATTTAATGCTCATTACATAGGTTTGGTGTTGTGTTTGTTTAGAAGAGCCACAGATTCGCTCCGTGGAGCCCTACACGAAGAAGGAACTCTCTGCCGTCTCACTTCCTGATATCATTCGCAATTATCGCGTGATGGCGGCCGACAACGTCCCAGAAAACCCTCTGCGCTTCCTATATCCCAGTATACCCAAAGACGAGGCCTTCAAAAAATACTACTCCAAACCTACCGACAGTACGAAACACACAACCATGTAAAACATGAATAAATGTATTAAAAAATGTATATATATACAAAGATATACTTTTGTTTATCCAGAGCAAGAACCAATGGATGTGGATAAGAAGTCACATGAGGGATACATAAGCACCACTCTCATCTCCATCTCTGAAATGTAAGTCAATGTTAACCCTCTGATGCTGCTTGCATAGTGGTCAAATGAATATACTATATTTTAGTTTGATGTTTTTTACTTAATATTTTGTATTTTAGGATATTTTATGGGATTAAATTATATTTATGGAATAGTTATGATCCATTTATTACCTGTATAGACCTGAAAAGTGTGGTAAACCTTGAATGCTTTGGAGCAGACTTACGTTTGGCCACTGTTTAAAGAAGAAACCTGTCAGATTATTGCTAAAGTGAAAAAAAAAAAAAGTGAAAGTAAATAAAAGTTCAAGAAGTTTATTAAGAAAAAATATACAAAATACAATTTTAATATTTTATGTGAAATATATATATTTTCCAAAACATGTTTTACTCTAAAACTGCATGAAAATCAAAGCCAAACCTAAGCAATTTGTGTTCCAAATTTGAGGTCGATATCACAAAAAATGAGCTTTCAGTAAGATTGTGTTTGGGCGCAGTTCCAAACATTTCCACTAGATGAAATTAGCTTCCCATTCATTTCTAATGTGGTAGTTTTTGATTGCAAACAGTATAATGATGTGTGCACACAAAGCGAAGCGAACATTTGCATTGCGTTATCACTCTAGATTACTTGCAGAATATTTTTCGTGTCACTTGCACGAATAAAAACATCACGCAGGCTCTCTTACATTTTCTGGTACACTTAGACGTCTCAAACCAGATGTGTCAATAAGCTCTTCGCTGATTGGATACGTGACAGCGCATTATGCGAATTTCCTGCTCAAGTTGAAATTTGTCAATTTGCGTGGAAGGTGCGATTGAGGCGAATATTGCGAATATCGCGTCACCCAATTCGCATCATTCTCGCAACCTGACGCGAATTTGCATTTATTTGCGTCTTTGCATCAACTTTGTATGTAATCTACTCATACAAATAATTAAATTCGGTGTTGGTGTGCACACAGCCACACACACCATAAGTTTGACTGCTTTTTTTCAGGACCGTTTACCCTTTTAAATCATGTCCATGTTTATTTATTTTTTTGTGTTCACATAGCAAGCTCCAAAACCTTTGCCAAATTTCAAACCGTTCCGATTAAGTAAAAAAAAATAAAGTAAACAGCACATAAATAAATCCCTTCCATTCATTGTAAAATGTCATTCCTCTGCTACCAAACAGGACTGCAAAAATAACTGCTTTTAAATAATTTTAGGCTGCCACAAGACTATAACGACACACTCATGCCAATGTCGCCTGAGGTTTACGGCGAGCTGGAGCGCATGGTATGAAAAATGATAATTATACATTTACTAGGGGTGTAACGGTACACAGAAATCACGGTTCGGTACGTACCTCAGTTTTGGGGTCACGGTTCGATATGAGTTACATTAAACAGGAAATGTTTTTTTTTTAATTATTTTATTTTGAAAAGACAGTAGTGCTACATACATTTATCATGAGCAGTTGTTTTTGATTTGAATTAGATTGTATAATTTCTGATTTTCAAGATGTAAATCAAAAACAGAATGGTTTGACTTTAGATTTGTGAAATTATGCTACATAAGACACCTGCACAAAACAAAAACAGCAGACGGACTGAATGAAAATGCAGATTTATTTTCTGACAGCAGGTGGCGCTTATGGAACAGCAGCGATACAGCGTTTCCTTGGTTACCGCTGTAAACAAAGCAGCTGCACATATAAACACTACTTTAAAATGCATTATATGGAGGTAAAAGGAAAAGAAAATGCCATTGATACATTTCTGAAGATGGTCAGCTCTTCTCAGAGATACAATCATATAAATCCCCACATATTTGTCTTCCTATATTTTGAGCATCGCAAACAGTGAGCTTGATCTGCCTGATACAGTATTTTCTCCTCTTTACAGACCTCATAAAAATTCCACACAAATTACATTTTGGGAAATGATTGCAATGCAGTTTGTGTGCAATTCTGGAATAATATCGGCCAAAATAAAACTAAAAACCGGTTCTTGTTTTGGGTTGGTGCGTAGATCGTCTCTTCTTCTGTTCTTTCCTGTTGTGACGGTTAGCGTTGCATTGGATTTGGATTGATCGCCTGTGACTGACTGTATTCGTCATCTGACTGCATGAACCAAACCGTGACGTCCGTACCGTGACGGTTCGGGACGAATGCATGTACCGTTACACCCCTAACAGTTACAATATAATTTAAAGAAATACTTAAAATATTAACAGCACTTATTCTCCATTTCTCTTTATTTTAGAACCGATATGTCACCGATTCGTTAAATTTTGAGGTAGAGTACTATTATTCCTATGTATATATAAATATAAAATTTAAATAGATTCTGATACTGTTTTTTTGTGTTTTTTTCACAGCCCTCAGACTTAAGTCTCTCGTAAGTGACCTGAAAGGACAGATGATGCAGAAAAAATAGAAATGTTTCCTTCATTCTGTGTTTTTTCTATAATGCAAATGAAAGAGGAACATCTAGTCCAGGTATAGCCATTGGGTTTAGTTGTCCTCTCTTTTTCATTATAACGTTATTTGAAAAACACTGTATACGCTGTCAACTATAGCATAAAGACAACCAAACAGATCGAATTAACCCCCATAGTAATGCTACTGTTACCACAGCACTCATTCTCGAAAACTTTTTAGACAGTGAAGTTGTGAATGAATAGCACTTCATTTTCTTAGATGCCAAGTAATAGAAACGGAGGAGAAAGTGAACAAAAAAGCTAGATGGATAAATTTCACAAAATCTTATTTTCTGTAAAGAAAATTAAACCTAGTTTTTAGGACTAATAAGATTTTTTAAGAGTTTAATTTACTTTTACTGTAATGCAATCAAATATTTTATTTAAATGAATGTGACAAAACTTTTAATTCTAAAACATTACATAAGAGCAGTATATGTCATACTGCCTTGGATTTTTGTATTCAAATCAGAATCAATTATTGTAGTACAGGAATTTAACTGTAATAACAAAATTACTGTATTACAGTAATAAAAATACATTATGAAAATAATGTGAACGAACAAAAACAAAACACAATGGTCCTCAACAAAACTGGTCCTAAAATAGGCTTTCTTTTCTTTGTTTCTTCTGTTTGGTTTTGGGATAAAACACCCCAAAGATTCATCCAGAAAGAACTATGACATGCAGGAGTTCAGGTCTGATTAAACCTTTTAAGATGCTAGGTGTTTACTTTCCAAACACCGTTTCTAAATATGTGAAAAAAAAAGACCAGTTTTCTTGAGATTTTCTTTAACTTGCTGGTGCTCTATTAGTGTTATGTTCAATTAATGCACTTAATGTTGTCATTTCTCACGTTTGCACTGGATTGTACTGCTGTGTTTAATTACAGAGCAATATTTGTTTTTGTCTTATTTGTTTTGGACATGATAGAAAGTTATTACTGTAGGAATCCATCTTGTTTGGAATGACTTAAACATCTGCACCTTAGAAACTTTCGGCACAGACCAACAATACGCAAACCCCACATTGGCGAAAGAAAAGTTATTGTGTACGAATGTGTGAAAAACGTTAAAAACAGATAAACATATAAATGTTGAAAAAACGTTGCAAAAATATTTTAAAATGGCAAAAAATTACATCTTTGAGATATCCATTGAATGGATATCTGTCTGATGGATGTACAGCTACAAGATAAGAAAAATGAATATCAAAAGCTATGTATGTTCAAAGTCTTTATTGTTTTTATCTAGTATTTCTTGTGTGGAATATATTGATCAGCTTTGACATTAAATTCAAACAAATCTAGAACATCTACAGCATAGCATAGTTAAATAATAAAAGCAAATTAAAAGGAAATATCACAACAACAACAATGCAATACATTCATAGCAGTAATAAACAAATGCAGAAAAAATTCGTAACAGCTTTCTCCGCAAAAACAAGAAATTACACAATGCAACAAAAATGGAGTAAAATATGACAAGGTTAACGAACGAAGTTGGATACGATCAGTGACCTACTTTTGTTTGTACTGTTGAGTCTCTTGGTTGAGTTGCTTCAATTTTTTTCCAATAAATAAATTGTCCTCAGTTAATTGTGTACATCCACACACACACACACACACACACACACACATTACAAAACACATTTACAATACTTTAACAACAGTGTCCCACTAGAAAATATTCACATAGTTGAGATCGACTTAGCTTTGGAGGTTTTTCCAAGTATACGCGCGCCTCTGTCGTCCGTACTGTACATTAGAACAATCAATGTGCTTTTCCGCATACAATGTGCTTATAGACATGAAACCAACCGTTTATGAAGTTACTTCACCAAATTACACAACTGACGGGACATGTTTAGACTACATTTTGACCATAGCAGTCAGTGTTAATTCCAGTGCATTTTTGTTTGTTTATATTCGACTTTCAATCTTATTTGTCATTTCACCATGTACTGAGAATAAAACAGAAAATGATTTTTTTGCTTGGTTCTTTTTCCATATGATCGCTAAAGTAAATCACACAACAAATCCAGTTTCACATCCTGGATTTAAATATCTTGCAGAAGAACCAACGGTGACACTGCAACCCAGTTTGGATGTTACTTGTGTTGGTTTTCCACATAATTATTCATTAAGCAACTGCCATAAGATTTCCATTATGCTTAAGTATTGAAAAACGTTCCTGTTCAAAAATACAGGAAGTTCCTGTAGTACAATGAAAAGGTAATTTTTGTTACAATTTACAATAAATTTCAATTTGTTAACATTAGTTAGGTAGATGGCTATCAAATACAGGAAATTCCTCTAGTACATTGAACGGGCAGGTACGAAAATGGTCCTTCTAGTGCTTAAAATTAATTTCATGACGCTTAACTAATGTTAGGTGTTAATAAATGGAAACTTACTATAAATCATATAGGTATGAAATACAGGAAATGTTGTAGTACAATGAACGAACAGGTGGAAAATGGTCTTTCTAGTACTTTGAAGTAATCTTTGTAACAATTTACAAAAAGTTTCAATTTGTTAACAATAGTTAAGCAGATAAGTATCAAATACAGGGAATTACTGTAGCACATTTAATGTCCAGGTATGAAAATGGTCCTTCTAGTACTTTAAAGTAGTTTTGGTGAAAAGTTTTAATTTGTTAACATTAGTTAAGTAGACAGATATTAAATACAGGAAATTCCTTAAGTACAATGAAAGGGCAGGTACGAAAATTTTCCTCTTGTTTTAAAGTAATTTTGTAACACTTTACAATAAGTTTCAATTTGTTAACTTTAGCTAGGTAGCTGGCTACCAAATACAAGAAATTCCTGTAGTACACTGAACAGGCAAGTACACTTCACTAATGTTAATAAACTGAAATTTACTGTAAATTACATAGGTATGAAATACAGGAAATTCAGGAACAGGCAGGTGGAAAATGGTCCTTCTAGTACTTTGAAGTAATTTCTGTAACAATTTACAAAAAGTTTCAAATTGTTTACATTAGTTAAGCAGATACGTATCAAATACAGGGAATTCCTGTAATACAATCAGTCTGGGTCCAAAAATGGTCCTTCTAGGGCTTTAAAGTAATTTTATTGACACTTCACTAATGTTAACAACTGTAAAGTATAAAGATACTGAATACAGGTAATTCTTGTAGTACAATGAACGGGCTGGTAAGAAAATGGTCCTTCTAGTGCTTTAAAGTAATTACGGTGACACTTTACAATAAGTTTCAGTTAACATTAAGTATACATGTATCAAATACAAGGAATTCCTGTAGTACAATGAACAGGCAGGTATGAAATTTTTCCTCTTGGTGCTTTAAAATAATTGTAAAGTAAGTAACACTTTACAATAAGTTTCAATTTGTTTACATTAGTTAGGTAGATGGCTATCAAATACAGGAAATTCCTGTAGTACATTGAACAGGCAGGTATAAAAATGGCCTTCTAGAGTTTTAAAGTAATTTTAATGGCACTTAACTTATGCTAACAAATTTAAACTTATTGTAAATTATATAGGTATCAAATACAGGAAATGCTTGTAGTATAATGAACGTACAGGTGGAAAATTGTCCTTCTAGTGTCTTAAAGTAATTTTGGTGACAATTTACAATGAGTTTCATTCATTGACATTAAGCACATATATATCAAATACAGGAAATTCCTGTAGTTCATTGAACAGGCTGGCACGAAAAAGTTCCTTCTAGTGCTTAAAAGTAATTTCGGTAACACTTCACAATAAGTTTCAGTTAGTTAGCATTAGGTAGATGTGTATCATGAATTAACAATCAATAATACTTTTACAACATTTATGAATCTTGGTTATTGTTAATTTTTACAGATACTACTTTTTAGTTACATTTTAAATTGACAGCATAAACTATTTTGAACCAACATAAATTAACAATGAACAAGAATATTTCTTATTTGCCTAGATTAATAAATTCTGTTAATTATTAGTATGATACCCAAATTAACTAATGTTAACTATAATTGTAAAACTTACTTAGAAAAAAAAAACGTAATGTAAAGTGTTACTTTATTTTAATTTAAAAACATATTGAAAGACAAAAATATACAAATTTAAAAAAAGTGCAATTTTTAAAGGCATAAAGAACTACATTTGTTCTTCATGTTGATTTATAATTAAATTAAGACTAAAGTCGAGGGTAAAGAAATGGGGTAAAATTATAAAAACAAATAAATCAGAATGACACATCCCTCCCAATGCTACCCTCTCCAGTCAAGCTGCCTTTTCTTAGATATCTTTTCTTACATATCTATTTGACATCATCTATGAAGGTTCTCAAACCATAAATGAATGTACGTGAACTATGTATACACTTTTTATATATATACTTGTATTGAGTATATTAAATTTATATTGTATGTTTACGTGGAGATACAGCTAAATAAGACCTTTATGAGGCTACATTCCCCCGAGTGTAAGATAAAACAAACTTACCATGTTAATGGAGGTTACACAGCACACACACACACACACACACACACACACACACACACACACACACACACACACACACAC